TTATCTTACCTAAATGGGGTAAGATAATAGTTTCATCCACGCCAGTGGAACCCCCTAACAGAAGCTCAGAAAGACCTTCATGTCACATGAATTCCCAAAGGAATTCACAGTGTTCTTTTCATGACTCCATATTCATAGTGTGTCCTTGGCTAGTTGCACAGGGTGTGTACTGAGGTTTGATTTTATCTACTTGTTCACAAATTATGACCTGATTAATTCAGGTGGTTTTTCTAAAGAATTCTGAGAAAACACGTGTAGACCTGGTAACCTATATCACATGCTTGGTTAGTTTAGACAAAAATGTTATTTTAATATTTTTTCCTCTTTTGGATTGACCTGTCAATTCATTTCAAATGGCTAAGGAAGTAGTCTCATATAGATAAGACTTATACTGATAATAGGCTATTGAGTTTCCTAAATTATTTCTTATAGAGCCAAAATGAACACATTGGGAAATTTCAGTACTGTCTAATGCTGGCCCAGGGGTGATCTGTACAATTCAAGTATATTGGTAATTCCCATTATTAAGCAAGTTCACACTATTTGAAATTTTCTGCCTCTCCTGTGATGCCCACCTCCTTTTTACATGGAAATTACTGTCTAAATCTTTCTTTTATGAAAAACTTCCTTGCCAGCTAAAGAAGAGATTCCAAATGCCTTGGTTCTTCCTTGCCTGAGCACTCATCTGTGATCATCACCCTGAAAAATGCTGATCTGCTCCTTTCTGTGGCCCATGTGGCAGCTAAGTGGATTCTGAATTCTTTTTAGGCCTGCTTACCTGGACATTTGCCTTAGAGGAAGCCTGCCCAGGGGAATGATTCTGTTACTGGTGTCACTTTCCACATGATAGACACCAAAGATTTAGGTATATTAGCACATCCCGGGTTGTGTGTGCTAATAAGTACAAAAAGAAAAGTTACTCTGATATTTAACCTAAATTTTTTCTAAACTACAAAAAAGGGGGAGGAGCTAGTTTTCAGTGGGTGATTTTAGAAACATTAATTGAACTAATAAAAGCCAACAGTGGTTAAGCACTTAACAAAAAAGCCAAAATAGATATAGTATCTACTGTGTACCTGAGACACAGAGAAGTCATACAATTTGCCTAAGATGGTAAATGGTAGAAGTAGAATCAGAGCCCAGACCTGGTCTTTGAGCTTGTGCTTTTAACTGCTGTGTAGTCAGGGTACATAAGCTGCTTCAGAGCCTGGAAAGTACTGACTGTATATATGTGTGTGTGTGTGTCTCCGTTAAATATATATATTTATATATATATATATATAGAGAGAGAGAGAGAGGGGGGGGGGAGAGAGAGATAGACATAGATAAAGAATTGATAAAGATGTAGATTGAGTATCCCTTGTCCAAAATGCTTGGGACCAGAAGAAGTACATTAGGTTTTCTAGTTCTTAGGATTTTTTAAATACTTCCATAGAAAATTTACGAGTTAAGAATCTCTTGTCCAAACATCTAAAAAACAAAAAGCTTATGATTTTGGAGCATTTTGGATTTCAGGTTTTCAGATTTAAACATACTTGACCTGTGTGGATATAGAGATAGATAATAGATACACATACACAGACCTTCTTTATTTCTTTTTTCTAATCATGTTATGGGCTTAGGATCTTTGATGAGAGGACAGTGCTTTGAGCCAGGCAAGTCAGGGAAGGCTTCACTGGGAACCAGAAGTTAAGTGGGGAGGAGGGAAAGGCCCTCCGTGAAGTGCTATGGTAAGGACACCAGGCAGAGAGGCACGAGACCTGGGGCAGGTCCTTCCTCTTTGCTTGGGACCAGACGTTCGTTGAGGCTCTTGGAGTCTCACTTTCATCACTATAAATGAGGGAGGTTGGTATATTCATAATACTCAAATGTGGATGGTGATCACATTCATATGGAGGGCTTCCTCAGAACATGAAGGTCTGTTTAAAGCACACCCAGGCGACTTTAAGTTACTGTGAAGATAAAGAATCAATGGAGCAGGTGATCTCTTAGGTTCAATATGCCAAAATCCACCCAGTCTGGTTGGAATAGTGGGTCCCAGGGTGTTTGTGGAATGTTGGTCAGAACCAGATTGTAGAGAGTTTTGATTGAGTCTATCTGTAGGCAGTTGAGCATTAATGAAGATTTCTACCTCAGGGACAATGTTGAAAGCAGTGCTCATAGAAAACTTTCTTTTAATTGTCTGCATGTAGTACAAAGAGAAGAAAGAGTAACTAGAAGCAAATGTGTAAAATAAAAGTGTGAACTGAGGTGTTAACAAGCAGACAGAGTAAGGTGCACTGTTGATGGCAGCAGTCTGATAGTACTATAGGAATCTCTCCCCTGTGTTTAAATAGGGGATAATTGTCAGAGGAACATGTGCTACAATGGGCATTTGAAAAAGAATGCTACTAAAATCTGAAACAGTTTGAAATTAAGTTTAATTTCACATGGTAATCATGTTGTAAAGTTCTATTTGGACAAATTAACTGCTGTAAATTTTTAAGCCAAAACCACACCTATGATACAAGTTCCCACCAAATGGTGAGCAACAGGACTGTAGAAGAAATATCCTCTCAATTTGTCTCCCTTGCAGAAACAAAAACAAAATTACTACTTATGGAATGTTTGGACTTTCTTTAAAAAGCATTGCAAAGTATCTGTCAAAGTGGCATGTGACATCTGTTAGTCTGACCCTTAGTTTCTAGTGATTCTCAAAAGTTCCCAGACAAACCAGAATCATCCAAAAGTACAGAGCCAAGAGGAAGAGTCCTCTCTGCCAGAGTCTTGCGTCTTATAAAATTCTCATCACTGAGCTGATCACAGGATGAAACATTTTTCTTGAAAGCAACAAGTTCCTTAAGGAATTTTAGAGATACCATTTTTCACAAAGAAATCTGAGTTCCTATGAATAACTGTGATGATAACTTTTCCATTGTGTCACATGAATGTTAATGGACAATCTCAAGTATTTGCATTCATAGACCATGTTAAGTGGTAATTAATCTTGCTGAGTTCATTTGTAAAAAGTCTCAGTTTCCATTTTAACTGATATAAGTTATGACAAATAAAAACCATTAAATCTTTACTATCATTTTAGTGTTTATTTTTTTCCCTCTTCTTATTTTAAAGAGTATCTGACTAAATAATGCCTTGTGAGACTTAATTTCAGCCTTCATCTCCTAAATCTGCATCTTCCTTTGGATTTTAGGATGATTTTCAAATTAATGTTTATAAAGATTTATGAAATCCTCAGAGAAAGAGTTCTGCTAACCATAAAATCAGTAGTCAAATTACCAGGATTAAAACATACATTTGCATTTAAAAAAAAGTGAGCAAATGGAAGAATTACTTCAAGGTATAGTTTAGAATAGAAACCTGAATATATGTAATCCTAATGGCTTCCATAGACGTAAAGACACTTTTGAAATTTTTATTGACTGGATGAATCAACAAGAAAGCTTTAAGAAAGATGTAATACAGATTTATTATAATCCTGCAATTTTAAAGCCACATCCCAAGAACCATTCACTTAAGGACACAGGTGTTGAACAACTTGTTTTCTAAGATAGGACTGTGCATCAGAGAATCCTATTAGGAGTTACCTAGATCCCAAGAAGTAGATAGATAGTATGGAAAACCACCTCCCTTAGGAAATAGCTAAGTGCCTGGCATATAACAGACAATGGTAAAAATTTACTAAATTGAACCCATAAATCCAAGGTCTGTATTGGAATCATGAATCCCCCGGCCCCCGCACCCTCCATCTGTCATAGGAAGCTCCCGTCAAGGTGAAATCAACTTGTTGCAAGCCGCTTCTGGCAGCTTAAGAACTCATACATGTGAGTCAGTATTAGCTTCTGTTTTAGTCAGTTTTTTCCCTGCTGTGACTAAAAGAACCCAACCAGAATAATTATAGAGGAGGAAAAGTTTATTTAGGGGCTCATGGTTTCAGAGGTCTCAATTCATAGACAGCAGACTTCATTCCTCAGGGCTCAAGGTGAAGCAGAACATCATGGCAGAAGAGTGTGGCAGAGGGAACCAGTTCACATGATGATCAGGAAGCAGAGAATATGAGAGGTCTCCACTTGCCAGATACAAATATATCCCCAAAGCCATGTCCCCAGTGCCCTACTTCCTGCAGTGACACCCCACCTACCTTCAGTTACCACTCAATTCCATCGGGAGATTAATTCACTGATTGGATTAAGTCTGTGTGTGACTCCATCATTTTTCCTCCAAACCTTCTTGCGTTGTCTTACATGTGAGCTTTTCAGGGACACCTCGCTTCCAAACGGTAACAACTTCCCTCTACATAACTTCATCCTACAGAGACTGAACCTGTAGGGGCTTATAGCAGGAGCCACTCTCATGGCCTTTGATAACTGGTGGAGGAGTTCTGCTGAAGTTGCTGTACATTTACTGAATCAGTCCCAATTTTCAATAAAAATATGATAAAATAGCTCATTATTATTTGCTGATCAGTGGTCACAGTATTTTCTAATTTCATAACTTCATGTGTGAAACTTTTCTTCCCTTAGATATAAAACCAAAGATTAACACTGGCAGTCTGGCCTGGCTTGTCTCTGGTGGGGGGCTCAGCTACTGTTAGGAACACAGCTAGAAGTGGTGCAGCCAGAAACAGGCAGCCCATACCATCTTCCACATCATGGTAAACTGTTTCCCATGCCACCTAGGTAATGGCCCCAAAATTACTCTTCTGAGGGTCAGCATTTCTTGTTCACAACTCATAAAACTATTACGCAAAACTCCCCAAAAGTGCATTGAAGAAGGTAGAAAAATGAGTGAATAACCTGCATCTTTATATCACTTTCCAAAGGAGAATCCAAGAGACAGAAAGAAGCTGTTAGCACCTAAGACAGCCAAGTTTGATTCATTTGCCATAAAATCCAGAATGAATGAGCAATCTTTGCTAAAAGGAAATGAGATTTTAAAGTCTAATCAGAGGATTTAAGCAAAGTATTAATAAAAGATGCCCCTGCCCCACTTATTGTCTATAGGTCCCAGGAGAAGAAAGAAGAAGCTATCACTCTTCTGAAGGATTCCATTAAATATGGCCCAGAGTTTGCAGATGCATATTCAAGCTTAGCTTCATTATTGGCTGAGCAGGTAATTGTTTCCATTTAATTTCACACCGTATTTTTTTAAATGTGACTGTTAAGTGTATAAATTAATGTTACATAAATTTTTGTACTAAAGATTTGACTAATGGTTGGTAAACTTACATTGGACACCTAGTCTCTCTATGTCACTTTTCTTCCTGACAGATATGAGAAGCCTAGTTTTCTCATTCTAATATTTTCTTCACAGTGTAGATGACCTTTAGACAAAGGTGGTGTCTTACTGACCATTAATATGTTTTCTGTCACTTTGAGACTTGCTGTTTTTATTGCTGTTTACTTGTCATATTTTTCTGGGGAATTGACAATGGATTGAGGTCTCTGAACTCAATAGGGAACAAATTAATGACAATCTTAAAGACCCTGTGTCTCAATACCTGTTAGGAGATAGCAGGTTTGATGGCATTCTAAGAGAAATTTCTCGTGGCATAAAAAAGGTTTGTGCTGAATCTCCTCCTCTTCACTCTCAAAGTGATTTGATACCACTTTTCAGAATTCTGGACACATGACCCCTTGCTATGGAAAAGTGGAGAGAAGTCAACCTCTCTAAATTGATGAAATAATTTTGTTGACACTTGGAGGTGCCCTTGATAGACAGTGGATTATGCTGTCACACAATTGCCAGATTGTCTTTGAAATCATGCACAACATCTTTGCTAGATGCCTTGCAGCATTCATTCGGCTTAAACATAAGAAATTATTTTGATGAGGCAGTTACTTAGGGTGCAATTTGCATTTTAAAAAACTCATAAGTTCCACCAAGAAGCAAAATTAGGACATTCTATGAGTAGTTAAGTGATGGAAATTATGAAAGTAGTTTTCTTGCTTTAATAAGTCATCCTCATTATCCCCCTTAGATACCCAACTCTGTGGATGCTCAAGTACTTAATATGAAATGTTATAGTATTTGCATATTAACCCATACACATCTCTAGATTAGTTGTATTACCTAATACAATGCCAATGATATGCAAATAGTTGTTATACTGTACTGTTTAGGAAATTTTAAAAATCAGTACAAACCAGATGCAGTGGTGCACACCAATCTCGGGGTCTCCAGAGGCTGAGGCAGGAGGATCACAAGTTCAAAGCCAGCCTCAGCAACTTAGCAAAGCCCTAAAGAACTTAAATAAAAAATAAGAAGGTCCAGAGATGTGGCTCAGTGGTTAAGCACTCTTGGCTTCAATTTCCAGTAACCATCCTCTACCAAAAAAATATCAGTACAAATTCAATTTTTCTTAAGAATATTTTTGATCTGAGGTTGGTTTCTGGCCCCTTCATTTTCCTAAGATCCTCATCCTGCCTCTCTCTGGCCAGTGGTCTTGCTCAAGCATGACAAGCTTCTCTCTGGGGACCCTGTCAGGAACTGTTCTCTCTGCCTGCCACATTTCTCTCCCAGAAGGCCCAGAGTTTCTTTCTTCACATCATGTCAGTTTTTGTCCATGTGTTACCATGTCAAAGGTGTCTTCTGTGATGACTCTTGTATGTAAATAGCAACTTTTTTCCTGCTTTACTTTCCCATAGTATTTATCACCATCTAACATACATTTGCATGTTCGTGGTCTTTATGAGAATTGCCATTTTATTCATGATAGTATTCCCATGTCTGTCACACTGTATGTGACCAGTAGATTTTTGTCTCTACTATGGTACATGTTCTGAATTTTACTCTTATACTGCAAGTGGAGCTGAGCATGTAGGCCACAGTGTTATAATGGAATTGTGTCTCAGCGTGATGATCCTGTCTGACCACGAGAGCCAGTGTGAAACACAGCCATGAGAAATTATCCATTATAACCATAGGCCATCACCCAAGACATCTTTCAGTGACTTTTTTTTTTTTTTGGACATAATTATATTTCAGTGACGTCTTTATGAGCACTAGAAGGACAAATTGTCTCATGTTTTAGCATTAAAGAAGGCTGAACTTCTCATACATTACAAGGGTTGGTTGGTTGGTTTTATTTTGAAACCAGTGCATGAAAAACCCTGAAACTGCTAGAAAGGGTTCGCTCTCCCCTCTCCCCGCTCCATCTTGCCTCGACTCACTTCCAGCTGACAATCTTCTAGACTGCATAGTCTGCTTTACTCTGTGTGCATTTTTACTCTCGGGTTTGTCATTTTTAAAACCATTTATTTTATTCAGTTTATGTTGTATATTTTTTAAACCTGCCTCTCTTTGTGGAATAATGAAGTATAACTAAATAAATCAAGCATTATATTAACAGTTTCCAGTTCATTTTTCCCCAGCTTATCAGGGCAGATAAACATTTAATTGCTCTTTTTTTATTTATGTGACAGTGGAATGCATTACAATTCTTATTATACCCATAGAGCACAATTTTTTATATCTCTGGTTGTATACACAATTCACACCAATTCATGTCTTCATACCTGTACTTTGGATAATAATGATCATCACGTTGCACCATCATTTCTAACCCTATGCCCCCTCCCTTCCCCTCCAACCCCTCTGCCCTATCTAGAGTTCATCTATTCCTCCCATGCTCCCTCTCCCTATCCCACTATGAATCAGCCTCCTTATACCAAAGAAAACATTTGGCATTTGGTTTTTTGGGATTGGCTAACTTCACTTAGCATTATCTTCTCTAACTCCTTTCATTTACCTGCAAATGCCATGATTTTATTCTCTCTAATTGCTGAGTAATATTCCATTAATTACTTTGATGTTAATTGATATCACTTTACCATACCAGTGACAATCCAACAAGTTATTTTGTTGTTGTTTGTTTGTTTTGTTTTATTGGTACCAAGGATTGACCCCAGGGACATCCCATCACTGAGCCACATCCCCAGCCCTCTTTTGTATTTTATTTAGAGACAGAGTCTCACTGAGTTGCTTAGCACCTTGCTGTTGCTAAGGCTGGCTTTGAACTGGTGATCCTCCTGCCTCAGCCTGCTGAACCACTGGGTATTATTTCTTTCTGTTCTTCTAAACCCTCCCCATTCTTCAAAATCAGTTCAACTTCCATTTCCTCCACATTTTATGGTGATTTGTCTTTCCAAAGGGTTCCATTTATGGGAATCCATAACAACTAATTGTGTATTGTTATTTTTTGAATTAATATCTTGCATTTAAATTTCAGCCTTATATTGACTTTTAGTGTTTTAGGTTTATCTTCTTCACACTGAGAGCTTAAGAAAACTAGTGATTTTTTTCTACACCTGTTTCTTCTTAGGGCTTAATGTAGTGATGCAGGCTTTCACACAGCATCTCTTGACTTAACTTACTTTGAGATTCAGTTACCTGTGGTGTGATGTTGACAGCGTTTAATAGCATTTTCCTTTTTCACCTCACAGTAACCAACAGCATGGGCAGAGTCTGTTACCTCTCTGGGCCTCAGTTTCCAAGTCTGAAAATTGGTATATTCTGAGTTAACTTCTTGTATCTAATGCTCTAACATTTTAGAAATATTTAAGATTATCTTCTTGAATATCAACTTAGTGCTAATGGATATTTTAATGAATAATTTAATTAGTTAATAACTATTAACACCGTGATTAGTATAATTATTTCCATACTAATAAAGTATTAATACGTGAAAAATAATTTGCCTTAATAAATTTCCCAAGTTTCAGTTGTATTCCTTCTCTAAATTGATGAATTCTAAGTTCATGGAAAGTTACTATTTTAAAAATGATCCTGATATTTAGTGACCTCAATTTTATTTTATCCCATCCTTCAGGGTCTTTATATTTATTCTTACTTTTAACAAATATTATAGCGGATAGAAGTTGCTTAGGTTTTGTTTTTGGTTTTTTTTGTTTTGTTTTGTTTTGTTTTCACTTTTAAATAAAAGCAAAAGCAGTTTTCAAGTGGAATTTTGAATAGGTCAACATATATCCTTTTTCCTCAGGTTTGTTTAAAAAGTGCCAGATGGCTGATTTAAAATTGATTTCTTGATAAATTTCATTTTTGTGAACTGCGATAGCAAATTGATGTAAGTTATTGCATTTCACGTAATGGAAGCTGTGAACAATTGTTAAGAAAAACAAATTATGACTAAGACCAGGCTCTTTTCTTACATAGAAAGGTCATATCTTTTGGCAGTCTTTCCTACTCTAGAGGTGGATGGAAAACGCTGTGAGACCTAGGAATCTCACTGAATGACTGAAGGGCTCTTTCTTCTGCCCCTTTAGGCAATGGATTTTAACATGAAAGAGATGGAGCAGCTGTTGGGTCTAATTCTGGGTGGCCTCCCCCTGTCCAACCTGCACCATCTCCTCTTCATGTTTTGGATTCTTTAGTCTTGTAGGAATGCTTCAGATACACAAGCAAGGAACAGAGAAGCTGCTAAGGAAGATCCACCTGGCTTAACATTCTTTGGTAGCAAAGGAATCCATTTCTTGGTGGCGTGGCACCACTTTATTTAACAGCCTCCCAACATTTCAGATACCCAGAGAATATGGAAGCAACACTCACAAACCTGGGTCCACCCTCACTGAGCCCGTCATTTCCCAGTGCCACCATCTGTCCACATGCGTGGCCCATGCTTTATATGGTTGTGGACCAATCTAATGCTAAAATGATCACTGAAATGAAGTCACCCATTGTGCAGGCAAGTTTTCGCAATGTATGTGAAAAGATTTTGAATTCTTTATCTGAATTTAATTTCAAGTTCTTTACATCATCCTGAAATTTCTGATTCTATAGTACCTTTTTTTTTTCCTGCCTTTCAACATATTGTCTACCCTTCCCAGGTATTTCAATTGGAAAATTTGATAAGAATAGCTACTAATTTTTTATCATGTCTCTAGTTTTTAAAAAATTGTTGCAGAGCTCGGTAGAGGATGGAAAACCAGATAGCCAACCTGTAGAACCTTCTCTTCAGATTGGCCTCCCTCTTACCCCAGAATCTTTGGGTAGACTTCTTCAACATTTGGTTAACTTATTGATTTATATTATCATCTAGTTCACTTCTCTCAGTCTTCTCTACAAGGATGTTTCAAAAACACTTTGTCAGACACCTGCTGAAATCCTTGCCCTGATGCCAGATTGTGATTCCATCAAAAAAGGAAGCAAGGTATATTTGTTGTTCCTGGCTCCTATTGCAAACATGCTATCTACTGACACTCTCCCATCCTCTGTGCCAGTGAGACCATTCATGTAATAAGCCCATCTAGGATTTGTCTGGAACTACATAGTGTATTCCTTGCTCTGTTTGAACCTAAACATAGCAAGTAAATCTATTTGGGCAAAGTAGATGATTTGAGAAGGGGAAATCTGAAAATTAGGTTAATAAGTTGGAAAGACATTGCATGGTTAAAGCGTATTAAGGCTCATGATGCACCCCAGGCCTGAAATTGATAGGTAATAGAAAGCAAAGCTAAATATCCGAAGAGGGGGTTTCAGACTTGGAAGGCCGAAAACCTTGTGGAAATACATGGGGTTATTTTGGAAGAAGTTTAAAATTGAATTCTGGTGTGAGTAACTAAGAGCCTTGTTTTAGTTGGTGAGGGAATGGACAGACCATTGTACAAAGGGGGACTATCAGCCTGTGCAGGTTGAAAGAAAATGAAAGGTTCATTGAGAACTCCAGAGCAGAGCATCTAAAGGACTCACGGCCACTTTTAGCCATGGGAGACAGGAGGAATACCAGAATTTAGGAAGGAAATGAGATCAGTTTATTCTTTTTCCCCAGCTACACAACTCATATAGACACAAAAGTGTGAAAAATCAGAAAAAATAGAATATTCTTTTCACCCTTAATAAAATATCTAAAAACAAAAAATATCATTTTTTTATATCATGCAAATCTTTTTAATATATTTATGTTGTTTTTCTACTTATATTTCATATATTTTGGGTCTTATAAAATTATGTATAATATTATTGACATTAAAATTATGCATAATATTATTCACTTTTTCATAGTGCAGTATGGCCCTTTATAATTACCATTGTAATGGTTATTTACTAATTCAAAAGAAGAGACTGTATTTTACATAATAACATGCTAATTGTTAGCATGTTGACTATTTAGGTTATTTTTTTCTTCTTTTTTTTTTTTTTTTTTTTTGCAACAGTGAACTTTTCCTTTCTAGGGACTTTTTGAAAACAATATTTTGAATCATTTCCTAATGATATATTCCTAGAAGTAGAATTTTCATGCCAAAAAATATACACATATTTCATGACTCTTGACATGTTACTAAATTGCTTTCCAAAAGAGTGGTACCAATTTCCTCCTCCACCAGCAGTGTTCAACCTTTATGTCTGGAATGTCATTGGAACATTTAAATGAAAATGACACAGAAAGGAATTAGGGCTAGGAAAATAGTTTTAGGACTCCAAGTAAATGAAACCCTATTGTGAGCAGGTAATTTTGAAGAGGGGAAAATGAAGACGAGTATAGGGGAGACCTTCTCATTTTATAGATAAAAATGTAAGGCACACAGAACCAAGTGTCTGTCCACAGTCATACAGATAGTTCGTGCAGGATCAGGCCTGAAATCTGGTCCCTGGAGTTCTTGCCAGCATGGCTCTGGGGTCCCATGACTAGACTGTGTAATGGGCCATGGTTAATGGAGATAGATGCAGAGGTGGGGTGGAAAAGGAGAGGAGATGTGATCCAGAAACTAGGGAGGATGAGATACCCTACAGGTCAGATACACAAGGCTTCCAGAAGTTAATGCCCTCTGTGTCTGCTGCAGCAAAGACATCAAGAAATCAGAGAACAACAGATAAACTCTTGGATCTGACTCCAGGGTGGTCTCTGGCTTGTCATTTTCTTCTGGTTCTCCATTAACATTCAGCGCTGGCTGCACTCCAGTGTTGCAGACCCAATTGTAAATATTTACAAGCCCTCCGTCACTTTTAACCACCCTACTCTTACCATAGATTATACAGCTTTGCAGTACACTAGCAATAAAGGAAATAAAATTAACGTTGTTTATGACTCAGACCCATTGTAAACTATTTCTAGCCCCAGGTTTATAGCCTGTTGAAAAACTCAATTAATTAAAATGGTAACACTTAAAATATTTTTCTTTCATGTATTTTGGGATGCAACTTCATCTTAGAGTGAAAAGAAAATCGGAACAATAAAATATAAGAACTATATGTCAAAAAAGAGGTTCAGTTTCTCTCCTTCAACAAATTCCATCTTCTTGGTGGATGCAGCCATGCAGACCACTTCCTTGTGTGGCTAAGTCAACTTGGAACTGGATCAGATGTAAAAATGTGTTGACTTCATCATCCAACACATATGTATTGAGCACCTACATACCACTAAGCACTACAGATTTGAAGTAGCAAAGTCTGTGCCTTACTTTTAGGGAGCATAGAATCTAGGAGAGAAGGCTACCCTTAAGTGAGGAATTATGACCCCTCCCCAACAGCAAACACAAGTCAGAAAATATGCAGAGGACAAGTACCTGCAAGAATATATACCCCTTGTATCCCATCATCCCAGATAGAATACCAATAAAAAAAATCAAGCAATAAGTATATCACTTATGGTCACCTTGAAATAATGTTTGAATCTTTGTTAACAATTGAAAATTGAAAATTGAAAACTTGGGACTTAATAAGTTTTTAAATAACCTAATGTGAGGATGAGGCCAGGGTGGTGGAAAGGGGACATCTAATCTGAAACCTGAAGACCTGAGATATATCAGCTAAGTAAAAATAAAAGGACAACCTTCCTGGCCAGAAGGAATAGACCATAATAACATGCTAATGGTTGACTATTTAGGTTATTTTTTTTTTTTTTTTTTTTTTTTTGCAACAGTGAACTTCTCCTTTTTAGAGAAGTGTAAAGAATGGGGGCACAATGACAACAAGAAAAGCCTCTGGAAGCAGGAAGGTGTGATTCTATGTAAATGTGGGTTTTCCTCTCTTTTCCTGGGCTCAGGAAGGCTTTGCTCCTGTAGGTGCTCACTGTTATGCTTTCTCTTGGTCTTTTATTTTCATTGCTTGCTCTTGGAATTTGCTCGGTAAAGTGGTTGTTTCTCTTTTACTTAAATTATCACAGAGTGGTGTTGATCACACTCTGCTAGGGATGAGAAAATCCAGGATTAGAAAATATCTAAATTTCCTTGGTGGACAGCCAAATGAGTTGATTCATTTCAGTCGGATGTGAAAGATAGTTAGACATCAAATATTGATAGAATGTTTCTCATAAATGTCCTTGTTGATAACTTAGGGGTGGAGGAACAATTTTGTAAAAAAAAAATAAAAACAAGAGAGTGAGAAAGCATTTGTCTCTGCTTTATCTTTGGAATCCCTGTTTCTTGAATAGTTTTTGGCAAAGCCATTCACAGAGTTTAAAGATCCATTGGTCCTTAGCTTCTCAGGTTCATAATTATAAGTCCTCATTTGGCTAAATGGGAAGGGGCCTCCTGGCTCTGTGACTTTACAGCATGGGTTAGACCAGAAGTACTTGTAGAAAGCAGTCTAGCCATGATGTTGGGGCCCTAGGGAAACTTTTTTTTCCTATTGGTCCTTTAAGTGCATATTGCTCTGGGCCATCCATTAAGCCAGCTGCTCCAAGAAGGGATCTAAGAAGGTCTGTGCAGTTTTTCTGATGGCTCTTTCACTCCCCGTCCCTCATGAGTACTCTAGTATTTTTGTTGCTACCTGACAAATGAATGGAAAAGCTATTTAAATACTGTCCCCTTTACTAACCATATAAATACCTATGTGAAGCCAGGTTTTCCTCACACACTTCACCACCCTCAACAACAAAAGCCATATAAAAGTCATTGATTGACACAAAATCAGATAGGAGAATAAGGTCTCTTCTACTAAGTCAAACATTAAGGAGGTTTGTGAAAATATAAATTAATAAATATTAGTAATCTTCATTATTATAAATAGTAAAATTATAAATAGTAAATATAAAAACTGCATGTAAATGCTGTTTGTTATTATTTTAAATAAGCTAACAAATAATTTTTTAAATTCTCAGCTTTTTTTTTAAGAGAGAGTGAGAGAGAGAGAATTTTTAATATTTATTTTTTAGTTATCGGCGGACACAACATCTTTGTATGTGGTGCTGAGGATCGAACCAGGGCCGCATACATGCCATGCGAGCGCGCTACCGCTTGAGCCACATCCCTAGCCCCTCAGCTTCTTTTCTAATATGATTAATATTGATATATGTAGTCCACATAAACAAAAGCTCTTTGGTCCCCTAGTAATTTTTAGAGCTGCAAAGATTCCTAAAATCAAGAAGCTTGAGAGTTGCTACATTAAGCCATAAGCCAATGTCTGTCTGCTGGTTGCTGCAATCTGAACTATAAAGAAAATGTTACAGATTTATCACTTGGCCCAAAAGAGTTAATTACAGTTAGGAGTTCTTTTTCAGAACCTCTGCTTCCTACTTTCCCTTCCTCGTGGTAAAACACATGCCATCTTAGGTAATTATAGCATGTATAAAGAGGGGATGTTGACCAGGTTTGTGCCCTGGAAGGCTGACTTCATGCTGTGTTTGGTTGGGGGCCCAGGGGTACAGTACCCACTGTTACCTGTCAGGAACATTCTCTGCATCACTTATATCTTTAATTAAAGTTGTCCTGTGAATAGCTCGTTTTCCTTTCCTTTGGAACTTGCAAGTCTGTAGAAATCAGGAACCATCAGGCATGATTCAGGACTTCTAGCCAGAGGAGGTAAATGAAAGTGAGGGCTTGAAATGGAGCTTCAAGGATTAAATAATACCACTACTCAAGATGAATGTGTTGTCCTTCCAGGAAAGGGAAAACTCATTGTAAGCACCTGTAAGGTATTTTTTTTCTCCTATAGTGGTGTTTTCCCTTTGTTCTTTTCTTAAGTGGAGTTAATCATTCCTTGTGAAAGGAAAAGAAAGACAAATATCGAAGACATTTTCATAGAGCCTCAACACTACTGTTGGGGGCCACTGAGGGCACAGGGATGTGATTACTGCTCTTGACAAACATGGTCTTCTAGATCCCATTACTCCTTTGGACTTTGAAAATTATTTTTTACTGGAAACTCGGTTATATACCCTAAAACAATAAAGAAGTTTTAGATGAAAATGTAGTCTCTGCCTATTTTGAGGCAGTAGGAAAGGGGGAGAGTAAAATTAAATCAGGCAAAACTAATTACACTTGAAAACTGCTGTTTACTGTTGTATTTGACTTGCGCCAGGGAGACTGTGAGGACATCAATTTTATTCTTTTCAGGAAAAACACATTCCAACTAACCTGGTTTGGTTGTAGAGATATTTTGAAGATCTAATAGAAGCAGATTTTTTTTTTCAGGCACATCTTTATGTTCCATAGCTGCTGAAGTGAATGGTAACAAGGACCCTCAGGTATGACAGGTGTCCAGTCCTTCTAATTCCAAGCCTGGGTGCCTCTCCTGTCTGCTTCACCAGCACCTTGTGTTTCTCCTTCCTGACACTGACAAGCTTAGCTGTGATCCTCCTTGTTGTGAAACCCTCTCTCTTGTCTCTGAGGACAGGGATGTGTCTGTGCGGTACCCGGTGGTGTTTCCACTTGTATGTAGCACATGAAGCGTGCTCACCAAGTACCTATTGAGATGGCAGATGCATGGATGGATGAATATCCAAAAGTGTAACTTTTGAGCAATTAGTTTTGAGCCATCCTGGTTTATTTCAGAAATCCTGCTTTTATTCAGGGGTCACCAATTCCTTGTATGTCCACTTAGAACCTAGATTCTACACTCTGTCGCCAGGTAGCTATAAGACTTTAGCTAAGAATTTTACTGAGTACCCTTTTTTAAATTGTGGTAAACTTGTGTCCATTAATGTTCTTGCCAATTCTAATCTGTGCTCACTTTTTTGTTGTTGTTTGCTGCAAATCTTATCCATTGTAGTTTTAATCATTAGTTGTGAAATTTGTATTTTATCATGTTATTTCATCCTGTAAGATTGAAAATATGATCCTTTAAAAACAAAGATGGCGGTTTCAAACCCTAACACCGATCAAATAGTAAAATAGGCAAATCAAGATTTTCAGTTTGGATTATCCGGGGTATTTTTCTCTGATTGCTGCTAAGTAAGATATTAAGTGTTCCTTGACTTCTGTACTTGAAGGTGATTAAGAAAAATTGAAAGAAAATACACCTGAGTTAGTTCATTATTTCTCATACAGAGTTATTTGCACAGGAACTTGTAATCGTTGGCTAAGATGCCTCTTGGAAATGTTGTGATGTCTGATGTGGCTGCAGTGACAACTCTAGGGTACCCAAACTCAAGAGCATCTTGTGCTTATCTCATTAGTCAACTGCTCACATTGCATTGTGTTTGTTAGTTCATTGGTCTTTAAGTAGAACTACTATGTTGTCATCATCTCTGTGTCTTAGGCATCTATCTCCTAACCCTGTAAGTGGAAAAACCAGCCAGCACTAGTAAAACTTCTAGTGATCAGACTAAGAATAATAACTACATGTAAACAAAGGGCTGAATATGTAGTACACATTGTTCTGAGTGTTTCACATGTTTTGACCCATTTAATTTTCACAACCCTGTGAGAGAGGTTCTATTGTTATTCCTATTTTACATTTAATGTAGAGAGAGAGAGTAAAGTCTCACAGTGGTAAATAAGAGGGACAGGATGCTAATCCATTGTACTCAAGTACCAAGGGCCCAATTCTTAATTACTGAGATTGTAGCTAACCTATGTTGAATGGATGGATAAGTGAATGAATACTCAGTGCTACTTTCTAAATATCAATTTTATTGGAGTTTTATGTAATTTACATTCTGCCTATCATCTTTTTATAGACACACACACACACACACACACACACACACACACACACACACTGGGTTGTTGGCCACTCCATGGATACTATTTTTTTAATTCTTCCCTTTTTCAGTAGATTGAATGGAAATACTTTAAGATTTTCATTGGTAGGGGGCTGGGGTTATGGCTCAGCGGTAGAGCATTTGCCTCTCACGTGAGACCCTGGGTTCGATTCTCAGCACCACATCAAAATAAATAAACAAAATAAAGATATTGTGCCCATGTATAACTAAAAAAATTTTTTTAAAAAAAGATTTTTATTCATCTTTAACTTTTTTGAGTTTGGTAATTTGTTGAGTTTGGCAGTAAAAAAGAACATATTTTTAAAAGCCTGAATCCCCACTTTTGTCAAAGAGATATCTCACCTTTTCCTTAATGGTGCTTAAATATGTGAATTCAAGCAGATGGCATTGGTCATTCTATAGAGGACAAAGTTTCTATTACCTTTCTAGGTTAAATCAAATCTGAGTCCTGACCTGTTGCAGCACTTGGTATGAATATCTAACATTTTTATTTATAGCCCTTAAGGTGCCACATCTGAAAAACCTGTGCTTCACCTTCCCTTTCCTGGCTGAGGGCTCAGGAGTAGTAATTTATAGTAGTTTTGGAAAATGTTCATGTAGAGAACATCTTAAGGAAACAGTTGTTCTGTGCTTTATTCTGCATCATTTCCTTTTACCTGTACTAGGAAATAAAATTGTTTCTTGGTGGATAATTCATAGAACCTCAGGTTAATTAGATTTTAACTACTGTATTGTAAAAGAAAGTGTGATCTCTGATGGTTGTGAAAGATGTGCCTAAAAGTTAATTCATGACTATTAAAGCATTCAGGGTGATCTTTAGATAAATAGAAATGAGGGCAATTAGAAAATTGTCCATTGGAAGTGTGGCCAGTAGCCCCACTTCCCCACCCAGGCTGGAGGGATACTCTTGAATAGACATACTACTCTAGGAGGGAACAGCTCAGAGATTTAAAAAAAGGGGGGGGGCACAGGTTTAATAAGGGGAGTAGCAAGTAGTTTGGTAAACCATAGAAATATTGGAAGGAAAGAAAGGATGAGGTCAAGCCCTCCCCATAATCTGCAACAGTCTCCCCTTTCTTCTTCCCTTAAAAAACTTCCCAATACACACCTTGTAATATAGATCCTTTAAAAAAAAAATAGTGCTGTCTATTCAAATGCCTCCCAGCCAGATCCCCACTTCTAAGCACATTCATTGTTTACTAAGAATTACAGATGTGAAGGACATCTCTTTCAAACAGTAGTTTTCAAGCCTTTTCCACAGTCCACTTAGATGTTCCATAATATTAAACATCAGCTTGTTTGCCCTAAAGGAACTAAGCACAGCTATGTATTGTAGGCACTTGTTAGTAATTCACCTTAATTTAGGCAGAGTTCACAATGTTTTATCTTAGTGTTTATCATACAGTAGGTGCTCAGTAAATTCGTTCTGCTTTTTCCACTCACAATACTCAGTTTGCTATCATGTTTAAAGCACTTTTTCATGTTTTTTTTTTTTTTTTGGTCTCTTTTTTAAAGGAAAGATTTAAGGAAGCTGAAGAAATATACCAGGCAGGAATAAAGAACTGTCCAGACAGCTCAGATTTACACAACAACTATGGAGTTTTCTTAGTTGATTCTGGTAAGTGAAATTAAAAAAGAACCTTCTGTGTGGAGATTCGATAATACTATTTATCAGGCAAAAGGGGGTAACCCAAAAAATCCCTCAGAAATAAAATCCAGTGTCTTGGCAGGAAGCTCGCTGTGCTGCCAGTCACATTGTACCTGGGGGCTGTCATGTCAGTCTTCAGGCTCAGTTTAGTAAACTCTGCCCCTTCTTATAATCATGTCTCTGAGGAAAACTCCTCAGGTGGCAGGAAGTATCCTCCAGGAGTTAATGAGGCTCAGCTTTCTTTGGGTATCATTTGTACAAGTTTATAAATCTATGATGATGAAATGCTCCTCCACAGTGATACAGTACCCATCTCTGGATCAAGTTACCAGCAGATGGTAGATTCTTTTGTATAATTGATTTAAAAAAAAAAAAAGCCTTCAGAATTGTTTCATTGTTCCCTCCTTGATATGTTTTACAGAAAGTACATTATTATAATTGATGTAGTATTCTCCTATGACAGGTACTAAATAAAATATACTTATTTAATACAAAAGGTTACAGGCAGGAATTCTATTTTATGATTTGTGCCGAGCCCCATATACTATTGGCATGTAATGAATACTTACAAGTCATGAGATGATATTTGAATTGAATGCAAAAATACCACTTTGTTCTTGTTGACTGCTAGACTGGATGCCCTGTGGGAAAATTCACTCTTAATTATTTTTTCCCAATATGAAATGCTTGAAAGGTTTTTATTTTCCAGGATATGTGAAGCTCTTCTGTTTTACAGAATATAAATTTACATTCTTATGTATCTAGGAAACTTAACCTTATTTTTGCATGTAAAATTGTTGTAGAGTGCCACCTGCTGGTTCATTAGCCACATGATAAATTGTCATAAGATATAAAGATCCAAAGAGACCTCCTGTGGGCCTAATTTAACCCTCTTCTTTTTATTTCATCAAGACAGAGTCACACGCAGTTTTAGTCAGCTTTGTCCTCCACTGTGACCAAACAACCAACAGGAACAATTTTAGAGGAGGAAAAGTTTTGGGGGTGCTCATGGTTTCAGAGTTCTTAGTCCATAGATGGCCGGCTTCATTGCTCTGCCTGAGATGATGCAGAACACCATGGCAGAAAAGTGTGATAGAGGAAAGCAGCTTAGGACGTAGCCACCAGGAAGCAAAGGGAGAGCTCCACTCACCACAGACAAAACGTGTACTCACACCCCCAGTGACCCATTTCCTGCAGCCCTACCGTAACTGACTACCATTACCACCTGGTTAATCCATATCAGCAGGTTAATGCCCTGATTAGGTTAAGGCTCTCATAACCCAGCCATTTCACCTCAATTTTCTTGCCTTGTTTCACATGAGATATGGGTGGACTCCTCAAATCCAAACCATAACATACTCTACATATCCTGTAAATGACAATGACAATTCACAGTTCTCTCTGTGACATGGTATGTTTTGGATCATCCTAGTCAAACTTGTATTCAAAGAGGGTGTATGTGAGAAAATTTTCTTGCAGATAATAAAGATTCCTTTCCCATTTAGAACTTTAGGGTATTCTGAAGTTCATTCATTTAGCTGGTTTCACTAGGAAACTTCTTGGGGGAACCTTCTCAGACCAGAGAGGTTTGATTCTCATTCTGGCCTTTTTTCTTGCTTGCCATGGTATCCTTGTCAAGTCTCTGATGTCTTTGCACTTTAATACCTATATCTGTAAGATATATCTGTATAACTGTAAATATATCTTTATATCTGTAAAGTGGTACTTTTGTTTTTGTTTTAAATATTTTTTTAAATCCCAAGACACAGCAAATTATATCAAAAGGCAGCTAAACAGTATCCAAAACACCTGCAGGATCATATAACTGGGAAGTATACTGAAATATATAAATAATAAATTTTATAATGCCTCAAATAAATACAAATTGGCATTATTATTATGTTTAAAGTCACATTAAACAAACGCCATTTAAATAAAAATGTATGATTTAAAAAAGAGATTTTCAAGATGGAGCTTATACATACAGTGCCTCAGTAACTGTCCTCAATATAGTGATTTAGACAGACCCTTAGAAATTGTCTCAGGACAGTTTTCTTTCCATAATAGCCAAATCTAATTTTTGTACAACTGGATAAATAACAATCGCTGATAATCTCAAAACCTCATATGAACAAAGGTGGTGCCCAGAAACAGTTTGACTAATGTAATACATATAGTAAACACTTTGGCTACTGTAGTATACATAAGTACATTCGTTTTGCTACCTTTTTTTTTACTAATTTTTTGAAAGTGTGAATGAAAAGGGAAATGGTCCAAAGTTAGAGTAAGGAGAAGCCAAAAGGTAAGCTAAAATACAGATTGAATCATTGTTGGTCTGACCGTAATGCTGAGGAAGAATTATACAGATAATACTGTATCTCACAATTGAGACATGTTCTGCTCTTACCAAACCGTCATGGGTTGCAGGCTCTCCAGAGAAAGCAGTGGCCCATTACCAACAGGCCATTAGACTCAGCCCAAGTCATCACGTGGCCATGGTGAACCTGGGCAGACTCTACCGGTCCCTGGGGGAGAACAGCATGGCCGAAGAATGGTACAAACGGTACAGTTCCTTTTCTTTGCTTTCACGTTGCCAGAGACCTCAGCAATTGCTACCAACTTTGTAATTCATTGGAACAAACAGGCTTTCAGAAGACTGGCAGATTTTGCCAGTTCAGGTGATACAGATTCTTATTTCCAAAGAGAATAGTTCAGCAATAAAAAAACGGTATCCTTAGAGACTTTTCTTCTTACTGGTTAGGTCATGACACTTATAGCTAGGGTTTGAATTTAATTTCCACTACAGTTAATCCTTTGACTGCAACCTAAACCACACATATCAATTTCATGATGGGAATAGAAGAAAGACTGCACAGACATCAGAATAAGAATAGATCTATCTGTCAACAGCAAGGGAAAAGACCTTTGGGACTCGGTTGCCATGTTGGCAGGTCACCAGATACATCTTTATGTTCAGAGAGTGTCATTATTATCCTTTTTTTTTTAATCTTAATCATCTTAAACCTTGGACAGTCCTTTCTAAATCTAAGTTTAGGCCTTCAGAAATGTGCCTGTTAGAAGGAAAGTGTTAATTTGCCTTTCTCCAAACTCAGTGCCCTGCAGGTGGCACGCAAAGCTGAGATATTGTCGCCTCTGGGAGCACTGTATTACAACACTGGCCGCTATGAAGAGGCTTTGCAGATATACCGGGAAGCTGCAGCACTTCAGCCTTCACAGAGGGAGCTCCGTCTGGCACTGGTGAGCAGGAGGAGGAGGGCACATAAAGCTGGGAACACAAGCACAATGGGCATCAGGGCGAGCTGTAGTCACCAGGCCACAGAACGGGAGCCCATTGCGTGAGTCTTCATAGAATCAGGGTCACTACCACTCACAAAAGACAGGGGCACCAAAAATATTTGGTGTTTTTGCTTCAGAATACCCTTAGACTTACAAAATAGTTGTAAGGATGCAGATATAGCTTGGTAGCAGCGATTTGTCTAGCATGTATAATGCCCTGGGTTCCATCAGAGCCATCATAAAATAAAAAAGTTATAAAAATAGCTTAAAAATTCCCATGGACCTATTCACCCAGCTCAATCAATTTTTAACAATTATGTATGCATATGTGTATATACATATGGGTAAACCTATCTATATTTAGATGTTTATGAATGTTATTATACTATTATTAGCACATGGTATAATTTTTCTAACTCTTGTTGGTTAATTATAGATATCAAACCCCTTTATCTCTAGGTACTTTTGCATATAGTTCCTAAGAACAAGGACCTTTTCCAATGTAACTGCAGTACAGCCACCAAACTCAGGAAAAATAACATGAATATCAATATTTTTATTCAGAATTTCATTCTTCCTTAGATGTACTATGTCAAACTTGTTATTACAAACAAATTGTTAAAAACAGATTGTTGGAATCAAGAAATTATTTATCTTCAGACATATTCACTCAATATTTTGTAAGAAGCACCAGCCATTTCATTCAGAAACAAATATATGCACATACCTAAATAAATAAAGGAACAAAGAACCACAAAAACTAAAACCTATAAGCTGGGAGTTCAGCCTTCTCTGTGAGTCACCAAATAGATACTGAGTGTTTTGGTCAAGATTGTTTTCTGAATGCTCCCATTTGGGGTTAACCAACTATCTTCTAAGCCAAGGTTCATGTGGGTTTGCAGGCTCAGGTTTTGGCTGTGATGGGTCAGACGAAAGAAGCTGAGAAGATGACCAGTCACATTGTGTCAGAGGAGACTGGATGCCTCGAATGTTACCGCCTCTTGTCAGCAATCTATAGCAAGCAGGAGCACCATGACAAGGTAGGGAAGGTCACTGCTGAGAGTTGGTTGGACTCGAGTAGAAAGTGTGTTCACCTGAATGATTCTCCAGTTTACACATTTATAAGGCCAAGAAGTCTTGAACGTCACCAGCGAGCCTGTCCTAGCTCATGCAAGCTTTTCACGGATATCCCTTTAACTCCTAAGATGTCCCTTTGAAATACTATATTCTTGGGTCCTCCTTATTCTAAATATATGTGTGCTCTTATCTCCGCTGTTAGCTAGTTCTGAAAGTCTAACATTTGTACACTTTGTCATTTTCCATGCTTCTTCTAATACAGTTTTATGCAAACTTCTTAATGACCCTAAAAGTCAGGGCAGTGTTGCAAATGCTCCTGTTTATTTTCATTTTAAAAGTCACATAACCAGGAAATTCTTGAGCTGACTCAATAAAATATTTGTTGAGTGCTCACTATGTACTAGACACTGTGGTAGGCTCAACCAAAAAATGGTATGAAGAAAAACAAAAGATCACTGCCTTATCCTCATGGAACTAACAGTAGAAAAGAAGTCAGAAATTAAACAAGTACACAAAACAAACAAACGTGGTTATAACTCAGCTCAGTGATATCATAAAGAGATATGGTGTCCCAAAGAACATATCATGGGGTCTCCTTACTATATATACTGGTCTAGGGGGTTAGCAGGTTAGGGTTGGCTGATAAGAGCAGTTATTAAGCAAAAGGAGCTGCGGGTGGTGGTGGGGGGATTGTGGTGGGAACAGCACATGCACAGCAATAAGGGGCCTGGCTGAGAAATGGGCCTGAGAGAACAGGAGCACAGCATGAGATGCAAATGGGTGGCTGGAACTAGACCCCTGGGCAGGGCTCATGGCTTCATTTCTCATCCTGGAAGAAGCTCTGGGGTTTCTGAGGAGAAAAGCAACTTGATCAGATGTGTGTGTTAAAGGGTGTTTGCTGCAGAGGAGCTGTGGTGCTGGGGCTGAGGGGACCAGAGAGGAATGCTGTATTGCACAACTTCCCTATAAACCGGTTTATAAATGGGAAACCTGTGGTATAAAGATGTTATTTTTGTTAAGGTCATCAAACCTCAATGAGAATGTCGGGGAGAATGGAGAATGTCGGGGAGAATGGAGAATGTATTTTGATTGTTGGACACCCATGAGCCAACACATCTGAACAAAGAGTTTTATGAAATTTATTATTCACGTAAGATTTCCTTTATCCAATGTGCATTTATTCTGCCCTTTATTTCCCATCTGTGTAGGCACTTGATGCTATAGACAAGGCTCTCCAGCTAAAACCAAAGGACCCAAAAGTTGTATCTGAACTTTATTTCACAAAAGGAAACCAACTAAGAGAGCAGAACCTTCTTGACAAAGCTTTTGAGGTAAAAACACCTAAAGATATGGTATTAAATTTGCAGATTAAAATGAATACTCCTTTAGTATTTAATGAAGATTCTGCAGAAGACACAAGTGAACATCAGTAGAAGTTTTACTGATGTTATTTACTAAATTACCATACTTTTTTTTTCCTTGTGTCCAGCCAACAGTTAGATTAATGAGGTTGCAAAAATTATACCCAAGTATATTGTGGAGAAAATCTCAAATGATGTAATGGTATTGAAAAATAAACACATGAGTGTTTACTTTTTAAAATATTATTGAAAACACGTAAAGATATGTGAACTAATGTGAATGTGAACCCTTAAGATAGAAATGGTGGCATTTTTCTCAGAAATTGTGGGTTTTCTTTGCCTTTTGAATGCTTCTAGTACCTTCCTTCCTAATTTACTTGTAATTAATGTGATAATATCATTATTGGTAAGTTAACTATAGATATTTATATTGTACAGTAATTTATGAGTATTTAAACTATTTATCTGTATCTTAATTACATAGTATTGAAAGCAAAGGTAATTTCATAGTTGTTTTTCCAGTGGCTCAGATAGTCATTATCTGGAGTGGTTAGATTCAAAGAAGTGTGGCAGTAGGTTCAAAACCAACAGTAGTTAATTAGCATATCTGTATGATTTACTTGTATGAAGTCACAGATGTCACATTGTATAAGAAAAACAGAGCAATTGTCACCACTGTATACTTTTGTAAACTGAGACTCATAATAATCATTTAACCTGATTAAGGTCATACTGGTATAAGAGATGGAGCCATGGTTTGAATCTAGCTCTTCTATACTACACTCCCATCTCTGCTAATATAAATTAACCCAAGAGATATACCTTTAGGTTTATTTTAGTGCCTTTTAAAAATATATAATTTCTCATCATTTACTTATTTCTCCTAAAACTGATGTAGAGGAAAAATAGACTAGATTTTATTTAATGGACTTGTTTCTTGATAATAAAAATACCAAACAGCTTTAAAATACACACAGATCCTTAGGTTTGTAAAGCCTCTGCCTTATTTAAGGTGAGTACTCCGAAAGTTAGGATTTCATGGTGAGCATACTTCTGATGTAAAACAATTCATATAAGGTTAAAAATAGACCTCACTAGTACTGCATTTTATAGAATATATAATATTCAGACAAAAGAATATGCTTAAGAGATAATTCTTTTGGAACATATGAAGATGGTTCATATGATAGAATAAAAACAAAATTGCTGTTTAAAACTATCTACTAGTAAAATAGATGCAATAAGCATCTGTTTTAAGAATTTAAGCACAGGCTGGATAGGGAGTGATGTTATAGAATGGAGTGCTACACTGGAATTAAGCTGTTTAGGAAACTCTTCTAAGATTTGCTGACTTTTATTTATTTATTTTTTTTGAGTGCTAGGTGTTGAACCCATAGCTACATGCATGCTAAGCACATACTCTACCATGGAGCTACATTCCCAGCCCCCAGATCAGATTCTATGATTTTGAAAAGGCTTCTTTCCAACTGCATTATCATGAATAAAGCTAAGAGTACAGTTTTCTTGCAGGTCAAGGCCAGTGGGAAATGGTGTGCTATTATAGAAATCACCTGGATTCCCTGTATTTATCCTCAGTCTCTTTAAGAGCACATATTAGCTCTGCTGGGAAATTACACATTTTAGTTTCCTTCACTTTATAATCATCAATTTTGAAAAATAGCATAAATGAATGGGGACTCTCCTGAACCAGGAGTGGTGACTAGATTCATTCTATTAACCATTTAATTTTTCACTTGTGCAGGAAGCGTTCTGCAATCTTGTAGTGTTGAAGGTGGGATCTCATTTCCTAACCTGATATTTCTTATTTATTTAGAGCTATAAGGCAGCTGTAGCACTAAATCCAGATCAAGCACAGGCCTGGATGAACATGGGTGGAATTCAGCACATCAAGGTAGGAGAATAATTCACTTCACGGGGCTCAGGTTTTCCATTACCGTTTCAGCATTCAATCTCTTCTAAGGGATGCAGAAACCAATAATTTCCTCTTTGAAATCATTTGACGACCAAAATCATAGGTGTTTAAAAGTGAAATTCACAGTCTGTGTTTACTTCATATTTTATAAATACTAACTATCATGAATTTTTAACATATATATAATGTGTAAGTTAGATTTCATTTTGCTAATCATAGAAAACCATATATACGTATATACGTATCATCTCTGTAAACTGAATCCCCATTGAGGGCTAGTGTGGCTTAAATTTTTTGATTAACTCTCCATTAACATTAAAGTATGACTTTAAATACTACTTACCTGTTTCTTATATCTAAGGCATTGTTTGCTGCTTAAGCTTTTACTGAAAAACATGTTTGTATGTTTTGTTTCACTTCTCGAAAGGAAAGCTAACTTTGGGTAAGTTTGCCAAGGATTGAAATAACCTTTAGGGGGACTATTGTTTATAACTAATAAAATCAAAGATTCACTGCCATCATTCATTCATTCATTCATCTTACAAGCATCTGTGGAGAGCATCCTATGTGCCAGGTACCCTTATGAATTGGGAACACATCACTGAACAAACAAGTCAAAAGCTCCTTAATACATAGGTGAGGAGGACAGTTAGCCTGTGACTGACAGCCTTGACTTAAGAGATGGTGAATCTAAACATGACCTTTATCCGAGTCAAGGAACGCAAGTTCTGATCTTAATAATATTTGAGAGTGTCTAGCAATATCCAGTTGGGAAATAGAATGAGCTTACTTGAAAGTAGTAAAATCATAAGTTTAAATATTTTAAATTGTATAATAAGTAGTTTTATTTCAAAACAATGTGCTAGTATTTGTTCAGATGGAATATGGTGGCAATTAAAGCTATGGGTTCAATTGTTAATTGGAACAAGTATGACAGATACACTTAAGAGTATCCAAGAAGTCTAGAAATGCAGATAAAACAGTGTATTTATTGTCCAGTTGAGCCTAGTGCTTTATATTTAGAGGCACTTCTGGAAATGATTCAACATACTCAATAGATCCTTCACCAAATATATAATAAATATATATATATATATATATATATATACACACACACACACACACATACACATGTATATAAAATGAATATATATACATATATAATGAATCTACATATATATTGGAGAAGGATCTATTGAGTATATTGTTTTAAAATGTAATCAACAGTGATTAAAAATTAGCCTCTGTTTTGTCGTTACTGCAGACATCATGTGTGAAGTTGAGCCATCACATTTATAGTTTTAAAATGGTCCATAAGTGAGTTCATTTATACAATCTAACATCTATATAGAGAGCAGTCGTATAGCTTGGATGTGGTCATGTAGGTGTGCTAAGCCTTCACGATTATCATGAAGCCTAGAAGAACAGTCCTGAACATTCTGTGTCTTTTGCATTGCTGAATGGTGTGTGCAATGGACAGTGTCATCCCATTCTTGGGCCTAACTCCTTCTCTGTACTTGGGGGGAACTTGGGCAGGCCTAAGACCAGTGGGAAGGTGGAGAGTTTGAATAAGGCTTTGTGAGGTGACTCAAGAGAAGGGGATAAGGCCGTGAGTTCCATGGTTGTCTCCTGCTCATACTACTTAGTAATAAAAGACACAATTTAAATATTTTTTACGGTAAACACTTGGGACAGAATTGTCTGTGATTTTTTTTTGAGAGTGGTAGAATTTTTGCATATACATAATGAGATATATTGGGTATGGGACCCAAGACCAAATACAAAATTTCTTTGTGTTTCATGTAAGTCTTTTATACACATAACCTGAAGGTAGTTTTATATGATATTTAAAATGTGCCTACAGTTTGACAGGTGACCTATCACATGAAGTTAGGTGTGGAATTCTCTACTTGTGACATCAGGTTGATGCTCAAAAAGATTCAGAGCTTGGAGCACTTTTCATTTTCTCATTAGGGATGCTTAACCTTTCAATGAAGTTTTATGTAAGATAAAATAGGTAGACAAAAAAAAAAAACTGTACTACATTTTCTTATAAACAAAGAGGTTCCTCAGCCAGATCATATTACTAAGTACTATTTTCAGTACTGCCACAGATCAGTAATCTGCAATTTCTAGAATGTCATGTTATCCAGTAGATCTTTCTGTGATGGTTGACGTGTTCTATATCTGCATTGGCCAAGGAAATAGTGACCAGCCACATGGGGCTATTGAGCAGGTGAAATGTGGCTGATGCAACTGAGGAATTGAATTCTTAATTTATTGTCATTAAATCCAAATAACCGCAGGTAATTAGTGGCTATCACTTTTCTAGAAACTGGACATTTCAAACTCCCTACCTAGCATGGAATTGGAAATACTGAATTAAGGATATAACTTTTTAAAAAATATATAGTTTCCAGTTTAATCAAGAATACAGCAATTTGAGGGAGAGAAAATGAACTAGGTTTCTGTCAAAAGGACAGAGAAACCTGCTGATCTGAGAAGATGCCAAGGCACTGGTATAAGACCTAAGTTCAGCGCAACCTCCTGAAAGAACAATTTCAAGCTCAACTGCAATAAAAATATATTTGGAGAACACTTTAATAGCCACAAATGTGTGGTTGTCAGCACATGTGTGCCAAGCTTGATAAAAATCAAAGCCTTAAAAGATAGATTCTTGAATTGAAAAAATAATAATTGAATGTAGCAAATCTAAGATTCCACTTGTCAGCAATCTGTTTAGCCTCTTTTCAGAGTGATTGTTAATAATCAGAAACACTTTCATTTATTGCACATACCAGAGCTTGGATTCCATGTACAATTTCTTGTTCTGTCATTTCCACTCCCTTTCATGAATATACAAGTGAATACTATGAGAAACAGGCAAGATTTAATAACAGTAATGATGGTATCACATTGAGAGTTCACTACATCAGGCAGCTTCTAAACTTTTGACACACAGCAGCTTATTTGGAAGATGATTAGCTTTCAATAAATATTAGTTGCTAGTTGCTACCTACTACTTTTACTCCAAGAGATACAATTTTAAATTGTGATGGAAATTTAGATTGCTGAGCTTGGTTGTTCATCCACATGGACGTTGTAACTGAGAATGAGGTATAGCATGTAAAACCACCGGTATTGATGTATTTTTAGAGTGGGGAGAACTCTAACATTCCTAGTTCTGGGATTTTGCAGGACACAGATCTGAAAGGGTGGAGCAAACAAGGGAGGCAATACATGTAGTAATAGAAAAGGGCTGGAGAAAAAACTAATGGCTGTGACTAATTTGCCAGAGACCATCTGGGACCAGACACATATGGTTGCCAACTGGGGAGTCTCTAAACAAAACAGATGCATGCCAATGAAGGGTGGGGACAGGTTTATTCAGCAGGTCAGAGAAACACACCTTCCCTCCTACACTGAATATATAATGGTTAAGTATCACCATCACCTAGGGTACTAGATAAATTTAACCCCATATTTTCATCAAGTATTTTCATGGTGTAAAGCCTATGTTAGGCAAAAGTCACTTTTTATGTTTCAATTTGAAAATTAGAATGACTTCTACCACTAAGAATATACAGTCAGTAAGTAAACCATTTAATCATTATTCTTACAATTTCCAAAACACCCCACCCTCTTCCCCCCCCCCCCTCTCCCCCCCCTCCCTCTCTCTCTCTCTCTCTCTCTCTCTCTCTCCCCCTCTCTCTCTCTCTCTCTCTCTCTTTCCTAACCATGGCTCCATTTTATTTTATAAAGGAACAGGGCACCTAGTTGGTTCCATAGATATATTCCATGCTTGCATAATTATATTGAAGTGAATTCTACTACCATGTATAACTAAAAAGAACCAGTTTTTTAAAAAAAGGAACAGGGCTAACCCCTTGGGATCACTATGAAATGATAGCCTCATGCCCTACATTAATAGAACTGAAAATCAGTTTTTTTCTTCCCTTTAACCTTATGATATAATGCTTATCCTTCACATTCTCCAGCTGGTCTGGTACTCAAAACAAATGGATTCTCCAAAAGCACCAATAGATAACAATAAAATGGCACATGCCAACAAGATTTCCTTATGAAAAGGAAATGTTAAACTGGGCAGACAGTTTTTCTGTCTCCCCATGCTCTGGAAAAGTGTTCTGATGGAACCGAGGATAATTGTTCTCTTTCTTTTTCCCCACAGGGAAACTATGTGTCTGCAAGAGCGTATTATGAGAGAGCTTTACAGCTGGTTCCAGACAGCAAACTGCTGAAGGAAAATCTCGCCAAATTGGATCGCCTAGAGAAACGATTACAAGAAGTTCGAGAAAAGGATCGAACGTAGCACTGTTAAACCCATCTCATGGGACAATGCTGGTGCCCTCGGAAGAGGACAAGTGATGGGGACCTTGCTTTCACATCCGACATCCGCGGGGGCACAACCAGTCGTGCATTCCTCTCAAGACTCTTGAGTTTGGGGTGGCAGACCTTGGGGTGTCTGTTAGCAGCCTTGTGCTGAAGGACTTGCGTTTCCATGAGGAAAAAGACAAAATCAGCAAGCCAGTCAGGATGATCTGAGAGGAAAGGAAAACAGCAGCTACACATTTTACAGATTTTTGTTTGGTTTAACTCCCGATTTCCCTTGATAGATTTCTGTGCTTTTGCAACCTGGAGATCTAATTCACTTTCATAGTTTAGACATTCGTGTCCCCAGAAATTACAGAGGCTCAAAATGCTATAAAGGCAGAGCATCCATTCTTCATGGGATGAGCTATTTCAAAGAGGATAAATCCTCTGGTGTAAGCCATTTGGAAAAGTCTACCAAGTGGAAGCTCAGTTAATTCTCCAGACCCTGAAATGAGTATGTAATAGCTTTTGTAGAACCTTGTAGAATATATGGGGAAAAGGGCTATTGTTAAGTGAGCTTTATCTAATATCCTCCTAAGGATATTACCAGAGATATTTTGAGGAGTAAATTCAATTCCACTCTGAGGCAAGTTTTTCCATTGCCTAATATATCAAAAGGGAAGCTTCTAGAATTGTATATGGGTATCTTTATCCCTACAGGAAAATCAAGGAAAATGATGCCCCTAATTCTTTATGGAAATGTTTAAAGTATTTTAATTTTATTACTAGAGTAGTAGTTCTTTCTACTCCAAGATTTCAAAAGTGCATTTAAAATCTCAAACGTCCCACCTTCAAATATATTGTTATTTTGGTGGAGAAAAAAAAATAGTATATTCTACATAGAAAATATTAAAGATATTAACTGAGAGAAATGTCCTACTTTATTATTGTAATGTTCAGACATCTTAAGATTTATTATTTTTTTGGAAAGTATATTTAACCATTGAAAAATATTTACAATATATAATAGAAATCTTCATAGACTCTAACTAGATGGAAAATAACTATTTATTTGTCTTCCTAGTCTTCATTGGGAATTCTGTGCTTAAAACATGAATGACTGAAACCCAAACTTTGTCTTATACTTGTAATTTTGAAGATTTCATGGAGAATACTCAAAAAATCTAGGGGAAAGTCTAAACTTAAAATTTTAAAAATATATATATTTATATTTAAAAGGAAGGCAAAGGTGAATTCACAATTTGACATTTATTTCTAGTGTTATTTATTTCATAACTTATAAAATATTTAATATATATGCATATAGACTTTTTTCTCTGTACATAAGTTTTAATAGCATCTTTCAAAACTGACCATACAAAAATATGAATCTGAATTACAAAGTAGTTAAACAGTCCCTCAAAAAAATTGTATTGATTATCCACCTACTCAATTTAACAGAATTGGGGCTCAGCCTTCAATATTTGGGTGGTAATATATTTTGGAAATGAAGAAATTGAAACACCTGGTTCTAACTTGATCATCATCATTAAAAACAAAAACATTCCAGGCAGTACTGGTCATGTGCTGAGCCAGGTACCACACAGACATCGCAGCCTGGAGGTGCATATATTTCACCTTCTCAGGCCAGTAAAAAAGCCTTCTACTTACCACCCAAGATCAGGAAGTACTGCCCCCATATGTTATTCTTTTGTCAAGGTAAGTCTAAATAAGTGGAAGTAAACTTCTTTGGGGATGAAGGGGAGGATGTTATAAATGCAAATGATGACAGATTTTAAATTAGCATGTATATTTTTGTGCATATCAGTAATCTGATAATGTATAAACTACCATTATAACCTTCTGTTTCTAATGGTCTTTTAGTGTTACACGTCATAAATTTATCTTTAAAAATATCTTTAAAAGGTTTTTCTCCTCCCTAACCCAATATAATATTTCTGTAGTCCTTAGGCCAAAAAGCATATGACTAAATTTATTGCAACATAACTTTTCATCCCCAAATTGAAAACAGGAAGTCTCTAGTATCTAGGACTTTACCACAACTTTTCAGGATAGTGTGTAACCAAAACTCATGCTTAGAAAGTTAATGGAAAAGATTGCACCCCAAATTTTGAACTAATCGTGCTTTATTTAAAGGCCCACTAAAGGTATGAGTACACATTTGTTGGGGTAATTTAAAGGCAATTAAAGTCTGAAAATTTCTGAGGGAAAAGAGTCACATGGCCTTCAGGAGATTTTCTCTGCTGCTTTTCATGTTCTCTGTCCCCCAGTCCCTCTTTCTCTTATTCTCTGATTCATCTGTCTGCACACACCTGCCTCTCCTTGGACATTAAAACCAAGCACTGTTCAAAGAGGTAGGGAGGGAAAGTAAGCATTGTTTATTCAGTCAGATATTTTTATCCTTCACTGAAATGTAGCCAGTGAAATAGTTTTCTCAGTTGAAATGGTGCCTATAAGAAATTAAATCACATTATTTTTCAAAGATGTTAAGTGTATCTTGCAACGTTTCATTTGGTCCCTATAATGTGAAATAATAAGTGGAATTCATCCTTATCAGAATAACAGTGGAGAGCCCTGGCTAGTCAAGGAGATGGCTCTGGTTTTCCCTTAATGAAGGCATGCTTGGCCTGTGAATTGAGAGCCCTTTCTGAAGTGGAGGAGCAGAGCTGGCTTCATGAGTGTACAGTCCGTGTTGTCTCAAGGGTCCAACATTAAGAAGCATCCTCTCTTGGTTGAATTCTCTGCTTAAAATTCTTAATTACTTTTAAACAGTAGACCCCTTGATTTCATTTTCCACTAGGTCCCAGAATTAGGCAGCAAGTCCTGGGCAGGAAGGAAGGACAAGACAGGAATTGCTTTGGCCTGGCTGGACACTTGATCTAATATTCAGTTTCCTTTGTGACTTTGTCACTCTGAGCACCATTTGTTACTCTTTTCTTGGCTACATGAAGAACTCTCCATGCACATTTCTTCCTCTAAGCTGAGTCTTTCTGACCTGTTCTTCAGTTCTCCCTAGAACCAGTTCTTCTCATCTTCAAAATCCACACAAATGGCAATTCTTTAACTTGCCCTTTGACAAAGAAGAATGAGGTGAGAATGGCTTAAGTAGCTTATTTTAACCTTATGAATTATTCAAGATTTTGAAAATGATTCATGCATTTTTTATTTATTAATAGCATTCATAAAATATGATGTAACATAGGTGCTTAAAACCAAAGATGCAGATACCTTGGAAAAAATCAAATTTTAGGGAATCCTGAGATAGAGTCTTTTGGATTTATTTATTTTGAAGCCTATTACAAAACGAAGAGGATTACCACCATGTAAATTCCAACTCCCTATAATACTTCACAACCCTTAGCATAAGCTTGTGAAATTTACTATAGGTGGTACCTCATCTGATGCCAAATTTTGCAGTATTTGTGCAGCTACTTGTCAGCCTGACCAAATGAGAAAATGCAAACCATCCCATACAATGTGACTCACAGGAACTATAATTTGAGAGGGAGTAAAAAGCAAGTGTGTGGTTTCTTAAGGTCTCCATTAGACATTTCAGGTGCCTCAGATGCAGAGCTGCACTCTGCTCATTGTGAGATGTGTCACCTCACACACAGTGGCTCTCAACACTGGCTTCCCTTAGGCAACAACTGAAAACCTTTCAAAATCCTTACTATCTGGCTGATCAGGTGATGATTCCAACAGCAGTGAGGCTACAGACATTGCAGGCCTGATAACTTTAATGGGAGTTTATGATTTTTTCAAAACATATATAATCTTTCAAAATTTTTACTTTTTAACTACTAGACTTAAAAAAAGCAAAGATTCTAAAGAGTAATTTATGGCACAATGGTTGGTTAAGGACATCTCATTCCAAGATTAACAAACAAGTGTCAGGGTGGGATGGTTTTGCACTTGTGGCAACTGGACTGTAATTTGGCCTTATGCTTACAGAATTTGTGTTCTCAGATGGAGATGAGTTGCCTTGCCATTTGAAAGCACCAGATAAGATGCCCAGTATATAAACATGATATTATATAACTCATAGGTGGTATAGAGTGTCTTAGAGTTTAGGCCTACATGATTCTGTCTGGCCCATACATGGAAACCTTTGTTAATCAATTCTCAATGTACTTATTAGAATCAATTTTTAAAAAATACATAAAAACTTTTACTTTGACTTCATGGTGGATTCAACCTTAGAATAATTAAGTTTATAGGATGTTAGTAATGGCATTCAAAGCAAATACAGCTAGAAGTAATTTGTGGTGTATTTAATTTCCTGATCTCCAAATTATTTTTATTTGATTATATGATGGTATCTCCCAAATACAGCAAAACTTTTCTAAATGGCATCTTTTAGCATTTTATTTTCAGTACTGAGACTGAGGATTGAACCCAGGACCATGTGCATGGAAGGCAAATGTTTTATCACTAAGCCACATCCCCAATCCTTTTTGGTTTTTTGTTTGTTTGTTTAAATTTTGCAACACGGTCTTGCTAAGTTACCTAGGCTGGCCTCAAACTTACCTTAGCTTTCTGAGTAGCTGGGATTACAGGTGTGCACTACCCTGCCATCTAGTACTTTTGTTTTTATGAGCTCTTTGCTCTAAAGAGATAAAATAACTACAATCAAAAGCATGGTTTAATATCAATCAAAGCAGCAAAACAGAATTGATATTTATAGAAATCAAATGGTTCGTATTAAAATGTTCCATTTTTATCACCAAGCATCCTTTCAACTAAAAACTTCTGGGGGGGAAAAAACTGGACATGCACCTCATAAAATCAGCACCCATACAATACATGCTCATTATCAGTTTGTAAGTTTAGACCATCAGTTGCCCCTGGTGATGTTTATATCCAGAAATCCAGGGGTTTCTTCACATTGTCAATAGTGCACATGGTGTGTATTTGTATCACGTCTGGTATTTCCAATGTGTGCAATGTCCTTTGGGGATTTCTTATCTTGCTGATCTGTAGGAGGTTTGCACTAGTCCAAACTTCAAGACATTTGAATTCTAGTCATAGCTTTACCACCAAGGAACCACCTCACCTAGGGGATGTTAGCCACTGTCCCAGTCAAATTATCGCTCATGGAGGACTGGTCAGTCTCATGATTCCAGTAAGCTCTATGAGCCTCTGAATGGTACTCTTGAATTGATTTGAAAAGCACTATGCACCTGACTAGAAGACCAATGGATGTTGCTTTTTTTTAATGAATCTTAAGATAATGATGATCACTGCATAGCAATACAGACAAAGAACCCAAAAAGTGACTAAATTTCCTAAGTGCTTTAACATGACAGAGGTAATTACTATTCTTTTGCAGTCTGCACTTAAAAATTCTTATAGTGATTTTGATTTTTACTTTCGGGGAAAAGAGATAAAACTTTCTCCTAAGGAATTGGAATATGTTTAGAAGACATGACTTGGTTTGATAATATGGAAATCATTGGATTTGTGGTGACTCATATGGATCCCTCCTTTGGTCAGGAGAAAATGAATTACATCATGTTCTTTGCTCATATGCATTTAGTTCCTATTTTGATCATTTGTATATAAATGTACCTTTTCGTTGCTTTTGCTGTACCAGTTAGAATTATATCTCCCATAAAGTATTTCACCTTCCAAATCTGATATGTATACTTTGCCTAGGTTTTTCCAAAGTAAAATATATGTAAATGTCTATTTTGTATAAAATATGATGAAAATAATTATGTCTGGCTTCAATCTCTCAAGTATTCCGTGATTAATTCCCATTGATATCCTTATCACCAGCACATATGTGTTTTTGAAATAAAAAAAGTCTTCATTCCTTTCCTCATTCATTCATTTGCTCGTTGTATTATTACATTGTCCTGTGTACCTCTTGTCTGCTCTTGTCCCATACACCATACTGACTCTTTCAGTACTGAGCCATTCCAGATCTCCTCCCCTCATCTTGCTTAGTGAAAAACTCACCTCTTTACAGAGTAAATGAAAGTTACAAAGCTGTGTTTCCTCAATATCCTGCACTCCATCCACAAATTAACCTGCACCCTCTTGTATCTTTTCCTCTCCCTTGGCTCTGAATTTTGCTTCTTGTGGAATGCTACTGTATCCCTTAACCTCTCTATCATCTTTCCTCCTTTTTCTGGTTCTTATCAATTCTATCTTAATACATATACATGGGGCTGGGAGGATAATCCCTGAGTTTAATCCCTAGCACAAAAAACCCTGGTAATCACTTTTAAAACTATTTGAAAAAAAATCCTTCAGTTTTTCCATCCATTTCATCTCCAGCTGCTGCTGTATTTCTTTCCTTCACAAACTTTTTGAACAGTAACTCACTCTTGTCCTACCCTAGTGATTATGCCCAAATTAAAGGCAGAGTTCCCATAAGTCAAATCCATTCTGGGGTAGTCCAATCCACTCCCTCCTTGAACTTTTTTGCTTACTAAAGTTATTTTTTAAAGACAACAATTCTTCCATTTAAATGCTTCAACATGACCACAAGTAACTGATGCCCAAACCATCATCACTTTAGCAAATTTCAATGTAATGACCTGGCCAATCTGTATGGATATATTTCTTACCAAGTGGCTCTTTTTCCACTTAAAGAAAGGGCACTATTTTGTAAGTCTATAAGGGATGTATCTACCATAAAAGGACCAGGTCTCACTCAAGACTACAGATTTTGAACTCTGGAAACAAAGAGAGCTATGCTGTAGCAAGATGAGACTGCCCAGCTGCATGGAGATTTCCCAGGTGTGAAAGAAACCAAGGAACATCTAAAGCTGTGTGCTCCGTGTGCAGAAGAGTGCAAGGGACAGGGTCTGTGAGCCTCAAGGGAGGCTACCCACAGGACGATCAGCAACTTGAACACTGGGCCCAGCTGTTCTTACCCAACACACCTGCCCTCCCCCCCCACCCCTTTCCCTTTTCATGTACTAAAGACTTTTTGATGATTTTCACTTGATCTCTTGCAGAAAAGAGGATTTTGAATTCATTTGGAGCTCTGAGCTTTCATTGGAAAATAGTGCGTACCTGGAATGAGCATGATGACTTCAGGGAATGCAAAAGTGAGGGATGAGAGCCAGAAGGGCCATTGGTCAGGCAGCCAGCATACCTCGAAGTTTCATGGGCAGTACTCAGGCATGTAGGTTCAGTACTTTATTTCCACAGAAGAGCTTGGTAGCTTACAGACAGCTTACAGGGTTATAGTATAGCCCTCACCCTATACTATAACTCCTGGCTTCCATGCTTGAAACTCAGGAGTCATCTACCCAAACTGTCCTCCAAGCGACCATTAGAAACCGATAATCACCCTCATCACTATACAAAATACATGTATGAAGATGTGAATTTGGTGTCAACATACCTTATATATAATCAGAGATATGATAAATTATGATATAATGGTGTATTAAGAATTGTAATGCAAAAATAATTTTTTTTAAAGAAACATAATCAAAATAAAATGACACTACTCTTGAGAACAGTACAGTCCAATGAACTTTTCTATGATGATGGGAATGATATCTCATTGTTCTATAGGTAACCACCATCTACAGGTGGCTATTGAGCATTTGAAATGCAGCACTTAATCTTTGATTTAACTGTAATTAAATAGCCACAAATGGCTAAAGTCCACAATAATGGACAGTACTGGAGCTTTTCAAAATGATATGGTACTTGGAAGATAAAAATCACAGAAATCCCTTTTTGGTTCATGGGACAAGAAAGTTTGAACTTTAAATTCAATTTTGGGAGCTAGTCACATTTTTCAGGCCTTTCATCAAAAGTTGTTTTCTGCAGTTACAGGGGTCATTGTCCCCATTGGGTAAATGTCAACTGCTCGTGTATCTGCAACTGCACTGTCACTATCTTGACAGTCTTCTGTTTTTCCAATCTGATACCTATCTCCCTCACCTTGTTTACCCACTATCTGAGGGAACTTTTATTTCTGTTTTACATGGAAATGAGACAACTGAGTGTGGGGGGTAGATGTCCAGGCTAGTTGATGCATAATGTCCACTTAGTCTTGCCCTAATTTTCTCACAAAATATAAGTCCATTACAAATTCTGGCTTTATTCTCCCAACTTCAGGCTTATCATCAAACAATATTTGTGAAAAAAATTACTGACATGATAATCTCACCAATGAATTAATTTTATTATCTTAAATGATGGATTCTACAGCTTTGGCCCATTCTGTTGAAGCTAATAATGAATAATACTGTCAGAAGAAAAGCAATAGCAACATAAACTTCATCTTTTCTATCCGGTGGAAAACTCTTGAAGGTCAATAATTTCACCAAGGTTCTTAGAAGGGAAGCACTAATTAAGAGTCAATAGTCTTCCACTGTCTTTCATAAGTGTGCCTCTCTGTGTCTCCTAAGGTGACCAAGGCTCATTTTTAAACACACACACACACACACACACACCAGGCTTGGCCTACATTCTCTGTTCTGGGACAGAATTTGTTAGAATGCTCCAGCTAATAATCACCTTCTTCCTCAGTCCAGTTGGTAGTGACCTCTGCAAATATGTGAGAGGCCCTCCTGCCATTGAGACACCTCATGCCCATCTCTAGGACCAGGGGGGTGTGGGAGATGCACAGAAACCGAGTGGCCAGAGAGTGGCAGCAGCTCAGGATGGAATGGACACGAAGAACACCTGCAAGGCCAGGGACCATGGCAGGTGCAGCCCATTGGTGGGATGGTTGGGAATAAAGAGCAGCAGAGCCCACATTCCTCCCTCTGTTTTCCCAGCCTAAGAGGAGAACTCATGAGATCCCCAGCAAGCATGGGGACGCTGGCCAGGGCTGGTTTACTGCTGTTACTTGCCATTGGCCTCTGCCAAAGCCTGGGTGAGCAGGACCCCTGGACGCAGACACCAGGGCCAAGAATGCTGGGTGGGGACCAGTTCACCACTCCTTTTTCTAGTATTTCCCAGTGTTGTGGTTAGTCCTGGGAAGAAAGCAGGTAAGGGAAGGCCCAGATATTCCCAAAGGAAGGCCTGGGCAGGTTTCCTTTTTGAAATGCTTTGGATTCTAGAGTTCTGCTAACCACATTTGTGCTACGAAGTCTCCTCCTCCAAGGAAACTGCAATCAGGTGGGAGTACTGGAAAGCCCCGTTTCTCTCTTCAGGAGTGGCCTATGTTGTTCCCCAGCAACTTTAAGAAAACCTGCATCTATGATGTGTGCGTCCTCCCAGAGTGAGCACCAGCCATGCACCAAAAGCAAAGCAGGTTCTTTCCTGCCCCGCCTCCTCCTGTAAAGGTAGTTTGGGCTGAAAGGGAAAGCAGAGAAGTCCTGAGGCAAGACCTAGTGGAACAGAGATGGCTGTGAACATAACTGAGAAAGGGAATGCCTGCAGCTGAGTGCCATGGGAATGATAGCCAGGGCAGGAAAATCTGGCCATGCAATTTCGAGAAAGGGAACCCTTAAACAAGGCACTCTGGGTGAATCCAGAATATGTGTCTGTCCTTGTACACAGGACTCAAGTGTGGAATTCGTGCAGCTGATTGGAAGAGTGAGAAGCCTACTGTGGAATCCAGGTTCTTCTCCAGAATTAGTTGGAGAAATTCAACAGTTGGTGGACAACCCTGGCAGGTCAGAATAACAAAGACGTTGTTTTGTTATTGTTGTTTTTTTAATGAGAAAATGGTAAAATATTTCTTTTGTTTCGAGTATCAAGACCCCAGGTGAGTGTGTTGTTCTTCTCTTGACACCTTTCTACCTCTCCACAATAAGTTTACTTCATGGGAATGTATATCCTACTATCCAATTTATAGCAGTATTTTAAGAATATCACATCAGATTAGAAGAATTAATTTCAAATGTTTCAAAAGGAGATGGCATCAATGGGGAGATATATATTATGTTCCTAACTTTCTCCTTGGGCAGGTCTCCCTAAAATTGGGTGAGCGCCACATCTGTGGAGGAAGTTTGATTGAAGATGATAGGATTGTCACGGCAGCACACTGCCTGAGTAGTCTTGATGGGTAAGTTGTGATTTCTGATACTTGTCAAGCCCTGATTCATGGCTACAGTACTGGGAAATGAGATGCTCATGTATCATGTAGGGTTGACACACCTCGGTCCCCTTCTTCACTCTGCCACATTTCTACTCAACCTCTGATCGTCCTCATTCCTAGAAACCTGTCTCTGCTTCAAGATGTCCTGTGCTTTCTGCTCTGCTACACAGAGATGCCCTCAAAGATCTCAAACATCTATGATTTAGATTTGTGGATTTAGTGGTTGGCTAAGGGTGGTGGTTAATTGTTAACATCAAATGTTAAATGGATGTTCCAAAGTTTCAATAACAGAGGTTTAAATCATTAGGAGTGAAAACTACTGCAGAAATAATAAATACTTGGTTAAAAGAAGATACAAATAGGAAAAAGTGCTGGGAAGCCACTTTGATATTTTATTAAAAACAGTGCAGCATGTATAGACTGGCTTGTCTACAAATGAAGAAAAGTAGAAAACTTTTAAATAATCAGAATTGATGACAGTAAATGAAAGTGTTCACAAGAATGCAAACACTCCATGACTGAAAACCACTTAAGTTTAATAGATCCAAAAATTAGGAATGTATGACAGTAGTAACCAATAATAAGTGAGTGCCTTCTTTCAAGACTCAGAAATGCTTAAAGCCTTAATAATCCCTTTTCATTTAATCATATGAAACCCAGGGGGAAATAATTATTGAAACATTTTTCTCCGGTTTTAGGAAGCAACTGAAGAATCTAACTGTGACAGCTGGGGAGTACAACCTGCTTCAGAAAGAAAAGCAAGAGCAGAATATTCCAGTCTTAAAAATTGTTATTCACCCTGAATTCAACAGGCTTGGATATATGAGTTTTGATATTGCACTGCTATATCTAAAACACAAAGTCAAGTTTGGTAAGTATTTAAAGGTTTTTAACTATCAAAAATACAATGGGGAAAACTTAAGTACAAGTTCAATTTTTGTAAATACGTCTAGTAATAGAATAGTAATAGAAGTAAGCTTTGTTCTCTTTTAAAAGTTTTATTCAGTCTAGTGCCTATGAAAAAATAAACTACTGTACAATCTGAATCCCAGCCACAAGATATGTATGCTCAGCTTCTCAGTAGCATTCTAAGTACTGCAGTATCTTTGAATAAGCTGTACTCGACATCAGTTCTAACCAAGGATTTTGGTACTTTTGGTACTAAATATGTAACACACTATTAGCACAAGTATTAAGCCTTCTGAATAAAATACTAAAACCCTTGCTATTTTTAATGCAAGAAAAGGCAGGGTTGTGGCCAAAATGAATGAAAACAAATCTAGAGGAGTAGCCAGTCATTGAAGCTAGCTTCTGTTCTTAGGCATCTAATTGATCTTTAAGATCCTAGGGGTTTACCTGGCCATGAATGTAGCTGCAAAGAACCTGGAACATTCTGAAAGGTGATGTTTTGGTGGATTGAGAAAAATATGCCACAGAAAGTGGAATCTTACTTGTTTGAACCTTGGCCCTAAACATAGAGTTCTAGGAATCTACAATCATGAACCAACCCTTATTCAGCTTCAGGGCTGAAATTGACATTACCTGTGTGGCTCAGGCCCTCCAAGCCAAGATTTTAGTTTAAAATGGTTCCAGGTGAGTTAAATGGGATTTTCTGGCAGAAGCAACGGTAAATTCTCTCTGAAAACATGAGCCTCAAATCCTAGCTTCAGTATAAAGTTTTAATGAATATGAACACACAAATATCAGAGAAATCAGCCAAAGATGAAGTTAGAAAAACTAACCACCAGAATCAGACCTTCAAAAATTACAGATGTCAAAATGAGGTGGAGCATACAAAACAAGCATGTCTTACTTAAACAGGCAAAAGTATATCAAAATTATGAAGAACAAAAAACAATTAGGTGGAAGGAAGGATTTGAAAGGAACCAATAAAGAAGTATAAAATAATATAATGAAATTTAAAACTCAATAGAAGTATTGTCTACCCGATCAAATTAGATATAGGGAACTACAAGTTCTGAAATGTTATCCAAATGAAAGTGAGGCATAGAGAAGATGAACTGAAAGATACAGTATATATCCAATTTGAGCTTTATAAAGAGCATGAATAAGCCAGATGTGGTGGAACACACCTATAATACAAGTGACTCAGGAGGCTGAGGCAGGAGATTAACAAGTTTGAGGCCAGCCTCAGTAATTTAGTGAGGATTTAAGCAACTTATGGAGATCCTGTATCAAAATAAAAATTTTAAAAAGGGCAGAGGATTTACTCAGTGGAAAAACACTCCTGGGTTCAATCCCCAGTACCAAAAAAAAAAAAATGGTACAGGGGTATACACCTGTAAATCCCAGTGGCTTGGGAGGCTGAGGCAGGAGGATTTCAAGATAAAGGCCAGCCTTAGCATCTTAGGCCCTAAGCAACTACTGGGTTCAACCCCTGGCACTGAATAATTATGGAAAAGAGAGGATATAATTTAATAGAAAGTGGCTGAGGGTTAATCGTAACTTAGACATTTATCTTTAGGCTTTATAAAGCACAGTAAGTCCAACCATGATACTAAAAATAATTTTATATATAGACTTGTCATGCTGAAAATGTAGGACACTAAAATAGAGTGAATCTCAAAAGAATCTAGAGGGGGTCGAGGGGGGATAGTAAAGCAGACTACTGATAAAAATCGGAGACGATTAGGCTGCAGCTGACTTCTCAACAGGAGTGATGAAAGTCAGAAGATAGGAGACCAAGGTCACCAAGCTGGTGTCATCAAGCTAGAATGATCTATCAAGGGAAATTATCACCCCACTTCTTCTAGAAAACTATCAAGAGTCATCTAGGCTAAATACGCCAGTTTCCTCTCAGTTCTCTGTAATAGGTTGGAAACATCTACTGGATGTTCAAGTCCCTCAGACTCACTCCACCAACTTCACCCCTGTCATTGTCACCATAATCTCTACCTGAGAGCTTAGAAGATTCACTCTAAATTCTTGTCTTTTTTGATAAGAGTTTTGATCAGTGCTGCTCATACTAGAAATATCTTCTTACCTTAAATTCAAGGAATTGCTGGGTTTTCCTCCACCCCTTTATACCCTTTCTTAGTCTTCTGTGATGATTCCTCATCTCTTTGTCTTATGTTGTTGCAGTCCCCGGGGTTCAGCCCTGGACTTCTTCTCAGTCTGTCCTCATTCTCTTGGTGGTCTTATCCAGGATCATAGCTTTAATCCCCTAGATCCTGGATTCATGGAGATATATACATACACACACACAAAAATATCTATAAAATGTATAATAATATATAATGTAAATAATATATAATAAAAAATGGAATATATATAATGTATGCTAATGTAGAATAATTATATATATAATCTAGGTTTTTTATTATCCTTTTTGCATTATCCTTCTAGAATTGATGAGATGTATATGACCAACTGGTTAGGGTCATCTACCTAGACAGCTAATCCACATCTCAATATGTTTAAAGCAACCCTAATTATCCCCTTACATAGATTCTTCCCACAGCTACTTTCATCTTGGTTAGGACAACTCCATCTTTTCATTTGTTTAAGCTAAAAATTTTGGACTTGTCTTGGATTTTTCTTTCATCCCTGATTGTTTTTCTAATGCACCAAAAATCCTGTTGCTTCTGCCTTCTTCACTTCACTCAACTATCTTACCCAGGCTGTGCGATCATTTCTTGCCAGGGTTAATTTTTAAAATCTCTTAAAGTATCAGGTTTCTTCTTTTGCTTCCCTAATATTTATTATTAACCCAGCAGCTGGAATAATTCTTTTAAACATGTAAATCAGATTATGTCACTCTGCTCAAAACACTTCAGTGGTTCCCCAATAATATCTCTTCCACCTTTCCCCCTCCCTCCCCCCATTAGAATCTAAGCCCAATTGTGTTCATCTTCTGTTAAAGTTCCTTTTGCTCAATATGCTCCAGCCATCCTGGCTTCTCCATTCTTCCCAAATAGGTGTGCCAATATCTCACAAAAGAGACTTTCTACACTTGTCTTCAGCAAATGCTTTCTGCCCAGAGAACTGAATGATTCCTTCCCTCAACTTCAAGACTTTTCTCAAATGTCACAAGCGCCATGAGACTTGCCATGCCCACAATTCATAAAACTATAGCCCCCATGCCGTCTGTCCTCCCCAAATTTCTTCCTTCACCTACTGATTTTCCCAAGAGCACTTAAAATAGTTTGTTTGTACCTCCCCCCACCCATTTCTCTCTCCCTTCCCCCTCCTCCCTCCCCCCCCCCTTTTTCCTATAAACTCCACAAGGGGTTGGGGAGAGGATTTTCCTATTCATTCATTGAAGTTTGGAAGAGTGCTTGCCACATGTTGGTGCTCAATAACTATTAAATGAAAATATCATTTCAGAATTGAGAGTATACACTTGAAATTTTAGTAGTTTGGGGGGTGGGGCTCATGGTGATTATGCAGAACAGTGAATTAGATTTTTTTCCTTGATTTATTTTTTCTGCATTTTCTTCTCTTATAATTATGAAGTGACATTTAGGAAACAGTGACATTTATAAAAGTATGAAATCAAGCACATGTTACTTTTCCAAATATAGTTGGTGTCATTTGTCTATTCACAAACCTCGTGATTTTTGTTGTTTCAGGAATTGCTGTTCAGCCAATCTGTCTTCCACACAGAGATGATCAATTTGAAGCAGGAATTCTTTGCATGGCCAGTGGATGGGGCAAGATTACAGAGAGTAAGAGGCATCAAAAAATGCATACTACTTTCTCCAGGTCTCTGTATACACAGAGAAAGCAGAAGTGATTTTTGTTGACCATGAATGATTCATCCTTTTGTTTTCCTGCCTAATTTCTGACCCAGTGAAGAGTTCTAGTAGTCTTCACCATAGACATCTCACACTTAGGAAAAAACCTATTCCTATCACTCCTGCTGCTGTCGTTTTGCTTAGGTACATCAGATAAAGGAAGCTGGAGGTATGAAGAATATAAAGAAGAATATAGTAGGAATGGGGCTGTGGCTCAGTGGTTGAGCTTGCCTAGCATGTGTGAAGCACTGATTCGATCCTTAGTACCACATTTTAAAAGAAAAAAAGAAACAAAATTTTAAAAAAGGCATTCTGTCCATCTACAACTACCAAAAAAAATTTTAGAAGAATATGATAAAAGAGAAATCAGGAAATAGAATCAGTAAGTTTCCTTGATTTTATTTGTATTTTTATTTTTTTTTTATTTTTGTTTTTATAAATTTTTAATTTTTTTTAGTTGTCAGTAGACCTTTGTTTTATTCATTTACATGCAGTGCTGAGAATCGAACCTAGTGCCTCGCACATGCTAGGCATGTGCCACTGCCACTGAGTCACAATCCAAGCCCCAGCTTCCTTGTTTTTAATATCATGACCTTTTATAAAGTGCAGCTGAAAGAACAGCAAAAGGGTCACTTCCAGAGGCTTGGGAGATGGTAGAAATGGGGAAATATTGGACAAAGAGTACAATTATATGATAAGTTATGGAGACCTAATGCATGACATGGTTCCTATAGTCAATAATTATTGTACACTTGAAATTTGCTAGGAGAACAAATCTTAGGTATTTTCACTATAAGAAAAAAGATAATTGTGCTATCATGTTTGTGGATGTCATCTCACAAATTATACATTTATCAAAACATCACATTATACACTTTGAATATGAATAATACTTAACTGTATGTCAATACAGCTTAAAATTATGATTTTTTAAAACAGACTTTTATGAAACATTGCCTAATTGACTCTAGTTTTCCTCTTGGGGAAACATTTAAGCATATGTTAAGAAAAGCCAATTGCCTGTAACCTGAAATCTGAATTTCTTAATGATGTCCATTATCATATATCTGACCTTGAAACATAATTCACACCAAAAACAAACAACAAAAAATGCATCTTCTACATTGACTTAAAATCTATTTGAGAGAGTTTTAAATGTGAGGGCTACTCACTAATTTGCTTTAAAGGGGACAGTTGTTGACTATCTGTCAGTTTTCTCTCTATAGATTCTGAGTATTCAAATGTCTTACAAGAAAGGGAACTTTCCATCATGGATGACAGAATGTGTAATTCTGTGCTGAAGAGTATGAACCTTCCTCCTCTGGGAAGGACCCTGCTGTGTGCCAGTTTTCCTGAGCAGGGAAAGGATGCCTGCCAGGTACCAAAGTATAAACCACCTAGTTATTTAGTAAAGTGGGTTAAAGTGGTTTCTGCCTTTGCCCATGACTGCTTTGGGGAGTTACTACTTCAAAGTTCCTTTTCCCCTCATCTTTCCATCTGGCTTCTATTGAAAACTGTACTTGGTCTGAACTGAGAGAATTCTTTCCTGTGCCCATTTCTACACAGTATTTTGGTGAGCTGGGGCAGGGGTTATTTTCAGTGTTTCCAATCTAATGGAATCAAAATAATAATCTTTAATAAATCCAGCTGGGAATTATTTTTTATTTCACATTTCATTAAACACTATAATATTTTTTTCCTTTAGTGCAAAATATGTTTGAAAAAAGATGAATAGTTTTAGTAACTGGGTTGAATAGATGTCATGAGAGCCACTTTCCAAGACTAACAACAACTTCACAAATAATAACTTCACAATCTCTGAGGTGCCTAGAGAGGAAAGGGACTGATTTGTAAAAGACGTGAGTCAAGTTTTAAATATGCCTTCCAAGTACATTATCTTATTTATTTATTTATTTTAAAGGTAGAACATCAGAGTCATTATTCTTTTTCAGAAAGCAACCTGAAACTCTTGTGGGAAGCTCCCTGGAGTTTACCATTAAAGAAATTTGAAATTTTTTTTTCAAGGGTATGACAGGAGAGAGGAAGCTAGAAACTTACAGTTGTGCCACTTTCTAAACTGGATCACAAGTAGGCTGAAGGTACTCTGTCCCTTCTGTAAGAGGAAGTCCTTATTTTTTTCTTTTCTGTGAAGCACTCTAACAATCCTGTACCTTTTGAGGAGAGTTTAATCTGACACAAGATTGTCCGAGACATGTACTCAAAGAAACATGTACTGAAATGTTATTGAAGACAGACTCCTGAAATCTTGGGTTCTTTACTCTCTAGCATGGAAGCCATTGTGGTCTTTTACTTATATACCTGGGACAAATTTGAGCTTCCCAGGCTTTCTGTTCTTAAAGTCCCTCAGGGCTCTGTTCACTGATGTTGTGGGCTTGGAAGAGGATTTATCCTTTCCCATCTGCTGTAGGTGACAAGGCACAGTAGAAGCATACAACTGTAACCACATTGCCCCCGCCTCCTCCTTTTACTCATTTTTGGAATGTATGTGGTAGTTCTGAGAGAGAGAGAGAGAGAGAGAGAGAGAGAGAGAG